GTGTGTGTGTGTATGCGCGCGCGCACGCGTGTGTAGCTTGTAAGTGTGTTTGTGTGTGTGGGTTGGTTTGTGCGTTTGAAAATAATCATATTTTGTCAGTGAGGAAAAGCGACCCCGAAGGTTGAGGTGGTCTGGCTGCTGGCTAGAATGATTTTAAAAAACCTTGCTCGTGAGAATCAACGAAACGCTTTGTTAGGAGGGCTACATCGTGCAAATTCTGAAATCTTACCCTTATTCACCACGATGTCATTCTAGTAGGTATCTTTATGCATGACGCAGCATCTTCTCACAAGGACAACGCCATTAGACAATTTTTGAAAAACTGAATCCTACCAACGATGAAGTGGTTGAAGTGGTCTCCAGTAAATTATAGCCTGGGTATGAATCCTACTGACAATTGACATGTGGAACCTCATCATGAACAAGCAGAATGAAGAAACGCCACTTTGCTCCCAGTTAAGAGGCTTTATTTGCAACTGTCTGTGACGTTTCGGACAATATGAGAGATAATTATGTCCAAAATTTAACAAAAGTACACAACCAATACCTTTTTAAGAAAACGCTAATGAGCAAATTCAATGTAAGTCCAAAATTTGCCTGGTACATTTGTAACTGCTCTGGTTTTCAATCTGTAAAAATATTGTTCATTGCAGAGACAACATTCTCCATTCATTTGATTTGCAATACATGTCCATTCAACCAATGTTGATGCACCTCAAATACACGCGCTGACACGTTTTTAAGCTTTTTTGATTTCACAAAATTAATTTTGCCCAGTCTGATTTTTAAGGTTAAATTTGAGTTCCCGTATCTCGTGCAACTCTTGTTGCAGACGAAAATGAAATACATTGTATTAATGTGTCAGATGATGTAGAATGTATAATTTTGCTTTAAATTAGAGTATTACTATGCTGTATGAATCGGTAGAGTAATAATAATTATAATAAATAGCATTTTGTATAGCGCATATCCCCACTCGAATGCAAGCTCTAGGCGCTTTACACCATATTATTACCCCAGCAGACCATAGAACACTCAGAAACATTCTTAGCTTCCCGGGAAGCATACAATGCAAGCAGCTCGTTAAGCGCTCAAACACTAACAAACTGACAAGATCTTTTACTGTCTATAGCTGGGTACCCATTTTCACCTGGGTGAAGTGGGGAAAATTCATGTAAAGTGCCTTTCCCAAGGACACAACGTCGGGCCCGCGGCTCGAACCCCCGAACCCGCAACCTCACGATTACGAGTCTGGTAGCCTAACCACTAAGCTGCCGAAGCCACAAGGCTTTCAGACGATAGTTGGGAGAATATATATGTTCAAGTTTCTTTTGGTCGGAACTGAAGAAATATGATACTCTCTCTCTCTCTCTCTCTCTCTCTCTCTCTCTCTCTCTCTCT